GTGTGGAAGTGCATCACACTGCTCATCCCAACATGCTGTCACTTCTTCAGAGTCACACTCTGCGTCTCCTACAACTCCACAAAAATGCAGACGCACACCGTGACGCACAGCCCCTCCTAACCTCAGCGATAGACTGCGTTCTGTGAAACTAAGAATGATTGCTTCTCATGTGACTAAACCCTGGAGCTTCTCCGCACACCGACGAGCAACAACAAACTTTTTTCTTTTCCAAATCTGTTTTTGTGATTTATGACAGCCTCACACTCGGTGGCGCATCGAGCAGCCGCGATAGCAGATTCATACTGCTGACATCAATAACAATAACAGCCTGGCACAAAGATCACAGGCGACTTCAACACACTTGTTTGGCATATCTGTCATTTCAACAGCTGGCAACGCAAACGCACCACCGTTCCACAGAAACAGGACTGTTTGCACAGACCCCTGGCTATCTGCACTGGCACATAACACTGCAACTAATATCCTGTTGTTTCGGTTGTCTTTATGTGTGTGTGTCTGCGTGTGTGTGTATGCGTGTGCATACATAAACAACACACAGATGGTGTGCCCAAAAGGCAGCTGCACAATCCCTACCATTGTGCTCTTTCTGTGTGTCAGCGAGTGTGTGTTAAGTGTGATGGGTGACAGTCTTTAAGGCTGAATCAAGTCATGGCTGCACTCACAGCACACATTATTAGAAGCACACACGCTCGTATAAAGGCCCTTATTTTAGCACTATAAATTATCTCTGTTCAACACAAAAATAACGCCTGGCTAGGAAGAAAAACACTGTTGGTCAGTGTGTGTTAGTCACTGGCTGGCAGGCAGCGAGGGTGTGGGTGGTGATGGGTGTTTGATACATGGCACCACTTTCTAAAGGCCCAGAGGGTGGGCTGCAGCTGTGGATGAAAGTGTGTGACAGAAACAGAGAGTGTGTCTGTGAGTGTGTGACTGCCAGAAAGAAAGGACTATTTAAAGACAGCCTGAGAGACGAGTCAGGTTAAGAAACCATTTCAAGTAAAACTAT